AATAATAATAATAATAATAATAATTATTATTATAATTATTATTATTATTATTATTATTTATTAAATGTATATGCTGCCCAACTCCCAGTGACTCTGGACAGTTTACAAATTGTTAAAAAAAAACAAGAAAACAAGAAAAAAACATAAAACAAAAAAGAATAAAGATGGCAGACATTACAAACCGAGATAGGAACAAAGAAAAAGAAGAAAAGGTGGCTTCAATCATGCTAGCCAAAGGCCTGGGTGAAGAGCCAAGTCTTCAGGGCCCTTTGAAACACTAGTAGGGTGGGGGCTGTTCAAATCTCAGGGGGAACCTCATTCCAGAGGACAAACGCTGCTACAGAGAAGGTGCACTTCAGGGGTCCCGATGGATGGCATTGTTTAATCAAAGGAACCCAGAGCGTGCCAACCTTGCCAGATTGAATCTGCTGGGCAGATATTATGGGAAACAGGTGGTCCCTCAAGTAACCCAGCCATATTCCTATAAGCTGATAGCACACTGCTAATCCTGAACTGAATCATTCAAAAGAGCAAAGTTGATCCTATTTCAGCAGGTTCACACCTCTGACTCCTGATTTTCTCTAATGTCCTACCAGAAGCTCACTTCATTTTTTTAAAGCTAAATCAGATGTGAAGTTAATTGACAAATTCAGTTAAGTCTAATTCTTAAAAGCTAAATGGCAGCTGCACAGGATATACACAGAAAGAGATGGTTATTTTGCCATGCTACAGTTCTAATGGAAATCCCACCTCTAAAGCTGATGTTCATTCCTTCAGTGCCTCTCTTGTAGCTGATTCCTTCCATCTGGAGAAATCTAGATGGCAGCATCTAGCTGATCTTGGCTGATTTCAAAAACAGAGCAAGGTCAGACTTGGTTAAAGCTTGGATGAGGAATGCCAGGGTTCTAGGCCAAACAGGGAAGTAAAAAATGCTTCCAGAAAAAGGCAATAGCAAGTAACTTCTGTCTATTGCCAAGAAAACTACATGGGTTTCTCCATGAAATCTCCAGGAATTGAGCTCCATCCTTTTACTTGTAAGCAGTAGCTGGGTTTTCATGTACTCAGCGAACAGCACTTCAGTCATTCCTTCCCTCTGGAAAAAAAGGAAAAAATGGCACAAGGATATAAATTGAGTGAGAGACATATTGTATGCTTATTTCTGCAGCTTAATTATAAATGTGCATTTATGGTACATCCACCATGCAGAAAATATTGCCTGCATGGTGGATGCACCATAAAAGATGGTGAAGTGCATTTGTACCCCAAAATGTTAAAAGTATAACATTTTATACTTTATCTATATACAATATATTTTTCCTACATTAAAACATAGATGTACAGTATATAGATAGCTCTGCAAAATTTGTGACCATCAGGCTACTACATATATAACATATGAATTATGTAGTATGTTAACCCTGTTTTTGCATCAGATTGGAACTGGAAACACTGGAATGATGTTAATAGCTGGTAGGCCACAATACTAATAGGTTTCATTCAGCCTTGTGCCTCACACATGCCTGAAATGATAAATACATGCTGCTGAGGTTGGACAGGATACTGTAAGGGCTGTGCACATTTTCTGAAGGAGGTACATTGTGAAGCACTGAGGTGGCTGCATCTTCCTAAAAGCTGGCATGACTGCAAGAGCCTTCCAAAGTTGTCTGTGTGTGCATATATATGCACAGAAGACATTTCCACTGGGATTGTTGCCAAAATGAAGCAAATTATTCCCCTCCACATTGTTCGCACAGCTGTAGTGAGGTACATCATTCTGTACCTATAAGCCTGATCTAACTTGCATCAAATGGCAACAAAACATATTCCAGCAATCTTTTTTTCTGCTGTGTCCTCCTGACATTGACTTCCCTTAATTCCCAGCCCACACTAGAGATAGCCTGAAATCATCCTTAGCGTGTGGTTAAAAAGTAGTTCTTTTCCCTTTATCCTGACACAGTCAGCTGTCTCTCTACTGCTTCATGGCACAACTCTCCCCATGCCTATCAGCTGTTGTTTGGGCTGCTTTTGAATGTGGGTTTAGCCCTCTTCAGGAATAGAATTAAACCCATGTCCCAAAGAACCTCAACTATTTGCTGATATCAAAACTATCAAAAACATGCCTTTCACCATGGTTTCAGCCATTTTAAGGAGAAAGATTGTTGGATGTTTTCCTGCTGGCTGATTATTTTTGGTGGAAGAGAAGGGAAATAAAGCTGGAGGAATCTACCCGATCCCTAACTTAAAATGCCCCTATACTCTAAATACAGGCAACACCATTTACTGGTATCTTTTCTTGGCAGAATAGGGATCACCAATGGGTCAGCAAATCTTATGCCAATACAGTATAGTTTTCTGCTGACTCAAGAACTGTTTAAGCTCTTTAACCCAACCATGAAGAAGAACTCTATATTCCTTAACAGTTAGCTGGGAGTGGGTTTTTGGTTTTGGTTTTTTTGCAATTTGAATGAGGAATTAACCTAAGTGCAACCCACACCAACTAATCTTGAACACTTTCTGATATGTTCACAAATGCAAGAACAATAGATACTCATCCAAGATCTGTGATGCTGGAAGACTAGATTGCAGCGTGTCCAGTAAAGGGATATACCAAATCTCTGTAAGTAATATAATTTTATTTTGACAGTAAATATTGTCACAAACAGGCAGTTCTGATGACTGCAAGCATTAAATGACGTATACAGCATTAAGCAAGAACTTCATTTCACATCTGCTATACTTCAGTTAAATGAGTTCTGGCTATTCAATATGAAAAAGCAGATGAATGATGATATGAAAATTGATTCTTATTTAATACTATTAGCAAAAACAAACATATTGCTCTTCAAACCAAAGAACCTTAATAAATGAAAAAAATGAATGACACTAAATCAAAACTGAGTGTTATATTCATCAGCTAATTCGATAGAAGAGCCAACAAAATTAGACTGTATTGATACAATAAGCAAATGTGAATGCATTAGTTTCCTTATCACAAAATTTCAATACTCAAGATCATTAGAAAGCAAAATCAAATCTGTTATTATTTTTACAGTAACCAATTATAATTAGCCTATATTATTCAAACAAGGACCACATTATTTCTAATTAGACTTCCATTAACATACTGGAAGCTCAAACATGCTTACTAGTTCCATATCACATAATTTGAAACAGAAAGCAGAACAAACTCCAAATCAATATAATTTACATGTTGCTAACTGATCCAAATCATAATCCATTCACAACTGGTATAGTTAGTGGTTGCCTTAGCAAACTATGATCTATAATACGTCTCAGAATTATTTCTACATCATTGAGGATATGCGGCTCAATCATGGATCAACACAAAATCCAACCAGGATGGTTGGATATCATGGTAGCATCTCAGGTTAAAGAATGTGTATCAAAACACCCATTTTGGAACATATTGTTTATTCTTTTCCTGAAGCATAAGCCTATTCACATGTACACAAAGCAAAGACAAGAATATATCAAAAAGTGTGACTGATTTGATTTCTTATAATGAAAGGCTGCAAGAATTAGTGAAGGGTAATTAAAGGTTCTAAGTGTGGGATAGATTTTTTTTTCATAGTGTAAAGAGTAGATCTTGGGAAGATAGAAATGAATCATGAGAAAAGTGGATATAGAAGCTGCAAGCAACTAGGAACAATAGCAGAAAGAACCTTAGAAGTCCTAAAACTAAAAAGCCTGGAAAAAAATGTCTGGCACCAAAACAAAACAGCATAACCACCCAGTTGGGTCTCTCTGAGAAGTTTATTCCATCCAATATGAGGTTACCACTGGACATGTCTTCTCCTTAGCAGCTTGCTCTTTTTATTTGTTGAAAGGTCCCAAGAAGAATGCCAGAATGTGATCTTAGAGGTGGATTTATAAGAAAGTGGATGATCCTTTAGACAATTTAATCCTAATCCATTCTGGCCCTTATCTGGCTAATACCAGCATTTGTCTCACAAATGGACTAGAGCAAGTGCCAATGACAAGGCACTGCCACAATGTCATTGTACCAGCCAATCTAAATTAATATTATCTGCATATGATATGGAGGGAAGATTAATATTTGCAAATCTTTCTACTAATAAATGGAGGCATCATTCTAGTGCACCACTTCTATACAGGATGGCCACTCAATTAAAATTCTCCTCTCTAGATTTTGGTTCTAAATAACAATGTTTATAGCCACTTGCAATGCTTCACTGCAGAGAAATGTCACTACCCTTTTTTAACTGATGAAACAACCCAGCTTCTTGCATACTGTATCCTGTATCAGGGTGAGCAATCTGAGTCCAATTTGCCACCCAGGACTACTATTGCTGAAAATCAGTGGCATAGTTCCCCTGAATTTTGGGGGTGAGGATACATGAAACCAGTAGTTTAAGTATTAAATTCGGTTTAATTTCTGAAAATCTACAAAACTGCTCCCAGCCCAGGAAAAAAAATCTTGCCCTTGCTCATGCACTTTCTTCATTGCCCTACATGCTAAGATTCTGGAAGGAAGGAAGGAAGGAAGGAAGGAAGGAAGGAAGGAAGGGCCTCTAGTCATCAGATGGTTTCCCAACCTTTGCTATGTTGCTTGGGAGTTTTCAGAAATGTAATCCTAACACATCCACAGGGCACCAAGTTAAGCAGGCTGTTTTTTTATGCCACTATCAGGCATTTGTTGCAAGCAGATATTCTTAAGCATGACAACATTTCTTATTTCTAGTTGTGGTCCATTCATGGGTGTTCACGGGGGAGAGTGGGGGAAATTACAAAAGGTGTGGGATATCATCATACAAATGCCGTGATGCATACACTTGTTTCAGACACTGGGACTCAAATACATAAGATTGGCATTTGCATGATGCTGCCAGTGCACGTAGATCATCATTTTGGCATGATGCTGGTTTGCTGCAGAGGCTACTGCATACATTATGATAAGAAGTTCTGACTAGTGAATCACAGCTTGCATTTGCTACCACTCTTTACACATGAAATAAAGCTGCCTAGGTGAAAAGGGATATTTCTGAGAACTTAAGAGGAAGTAACTCAGTCTCCTGAATCTTTTTGAGGACCATTGGAGGCTATCCAGTGGCACAGTTATTTCCTTGAAAAATATATGGCTGAAATTTGTTGGCCTCTTTTTAGCATTTAAGGCAAGTTTTAAGGCTGAGAAAGAGAATGGAAGGTATACAGGAGACAATCCACTACTATTCTCACTCTTAAAACCCCCAAACCTCTCAAAATGGTCTAAAAGTACACCTCTATTTATTGAATTTATTGTGTCTGACTATAAATTCAGTAAATAAACGTAGATCTCTAAAATTCATCCATTTTATTGCTGAAAATTGATGGTGCAATCTCAGGATGCTATTGGTGTAGTTTGCTGATCCCTGAATTAACAAAATAGGCAGGCTAATCCTTTTGAAGATAAACAGGTTATCTGGAAATTGCCTTATGTATGACCACAGAAATATTGAGCTGGCTGTATTTTATCCAGTAGGAAAGGAAATATGTTTAGTACCTGGGCATGTATTCTATATTGTACATGTGATTTTATCTGCTCAAGCCGGAGGACAGGCAAGCAATCATCCTTGCAATGGCAACCCCATTGCATAGCGCAGATATATGTTGTAGTTTCTTTGTTTAGCTACCACATATAGAGCAGTCCATTTTAGAGAAGTATCACATGCATTCCTCTCAAATAGACTGTCTGGGATCACACTCTGGTAAGCTATACTTTGCTTAAGCATGATCTTAAGCACCACCAGTTTACTTTAATCTCTTTTCTGGGTAGCTAGGCACTCTTCCAACAAAGTACAAAGCTGTGACCACTATTTTGTTATTTAGATACAGGTTCTAATTATTGCATTAAAAGTTATGAGCCTTTCATGTTACTAAGGCTCTACATTTTGATGGTGATCTTAAACTGGATTATAGAATTTTTTTCTTTTGGCAATTTCTTTATATATTTTATAAACTGACCTGGATCTAATCATAAAAGCATGAAAAATACTATGATTACTAGTATTTTTTAAAATGCCTCTGGACCTACATGGGACTATGCTTGAAGCTGGTGCTTTGTCTCACGCTAAC